TGCATATTTGATAAATAGATTGTGAGTATAAACGTACTTATATGGAGACCGAAGATAAGATATGTTGCACATTTCGGAAGATGCATTACTTCAATTTATCGAGACAAGACCTTGGGAACCTTTCGAATTATATACTCTATTTCCAAAAGACAATACATTATCATTAAAGATAATGTTATATTTAAGCAGTTCCAACTTACTTGCACTTACTGTCATTAATAAATGCTGGTCAAATTATTTTAATACCTTAGCAATTTCATAAGATGCTTTCAACTGCAAGACTTAAATTGTTTACAAATCTGTGGTGAGGTGCTCGTTATTCTTCATTCTATTCTATGGCAGGACACCACGTGTATATCACAAAGAAAATGGGCTTTATGCACCACACAAACTTGAGATTGAGCCTCAACTCTTACAACACATAATTTTTTACTTAGTAATGCTACTTATTCATGTCTGTTTTCTCATCTATAAAGTAGACATTGTAAAATCCACCTGTGTGGTTGAAGGATTAAATGAAAAACATATACTTATTTAGTACCTGGCATGACATAGATGTTTGCCAATATCTTCTTCATTATTAATTCTGAAATCATGTATTGCTTTGTTCTCCCTTTTGTCCCTAATCCTCTTTCTATATCATAATCTCATTTTATGAGTCTATCAGAAGAGAATGATTGAAAATTTACAAGACAGCTTGAAGAGAGAACATTTCAATCACTTTGAAGTTCATCTTTGGACTATAATCATGGAATTGAAAATGATAGCCCAGGGGCTAAATTCAACCTGAAGACTGTATCTTAATGCCCATAGTTAATGCCTGTAATATTAAACAACTTAATAAAACTTTTGGAGATAGCTAAATTAAATGGTTTATGAGTTGAGCATGGTCCATGTGCTAAGAATAGGTTACTATGGAGAAGAAGGATGAAAAAAAAAAACATGGGGAGGAGGAAAAGGAAGAAAAGAAGGAATACGAATATGTGAGACTCTATATCCTCCAAAAAAGCCTCAAATATTTACTATCAGACCCTTTAAAGAAAAAGCTTGTCAACTTCTGGACCACATCCTGAAGTCTTTGTGATTGGATGCCTCCTCTTGTTATACAGCATTGAGAATTCAGCATAATTATCTATAAGCAAATAATAAAAACCTAGACTTGTAAATAACTGTGTTTATTAACAGTAAATCAAAGGAATATTAAAAATATAACAAATCTGTGATTGTTTTTAGATATTAGTAAAAATAATTCTTAGTTACCTAGAGTCTGTTAAAATTAAATTTATTTGAAATGTTGCATAAGTTACTGGAGGCCTTCCAGCTTTGCAACCAAAAAGCTCATTGCATTACACATTATTTGAATATTACAGTAAAGAAAGTTAACATGCTTAATTAAAGTGTCTGAACTGTGATATTAGTAGTTATTTATTGAGCTGTTATTTCAGAGCTTTGGAGGAAATGCAATTTATATCTTAAACAGGCAATAAAACTCCAGCATGAAAGTCAAACTTCCAACTACCTCTGACTCTAGCAGAAATTTACCTTTCTTGACAAACCTAATTTATTTTCATATATCCAGGCCTATGGAAATGAGCCCAGGATTGTAGTTCTATAAGCAACTATAGAACTAGTGCTTATTCTATAATACTAATATATATATAAAATAAGGCTGGGCACAGTGGCTCACGCCTGTAATCCCAGCACTTTGGAAGCCAACTTGGGTGGATCACGAGGTCAAGAGATCGAGACCATCCTGGTCAACATGGTGAAACCCCGTCTCTACTAAAAATACAAAAAAAAATTAGCTGGGCATGGTGGTGCGTACCTGTAATCCCAGCTACTCAGGAGGCTGAGGCAGGAGAATTGCCTGAACCCAGGAGGCGGAGGTTGCAGTGAGCTGAGATCACCCCATTGCACTCCAGCATGGGTAACAAGAGCGAAACTCCGTCTCAAAATAAATAAATAAATAAATACAAAATTAGGTATAAAGTATTTATTTGAAATGAGAAAACAAATCACCACAAATAATAAATTTTATTAAGTTGAAATCTCAAAAGCATAAAGTCAGAAAAGTCACATATTTGTATTAATTAACTTTTTTATTAAATAAACTGCCAAATTAAAAATTTGTCATTGGTAACAACATGTAAAATTTTCAGGTTGTTGTCATATTTAGAAAAATTTTAACAAGAGAACTGTTTGACTAGGTGTTGATGAAACCCATATCTATACTTAATTTTACTTATCTAATATTTGGAAGAATTTTCTATAAATTAACTTCTGGTTCTGAACATTTCTAACTTTGTTCTCCTTCTCTACCAACATACTTGAGAAGCTATGGCTATAAGATGAATTTATGTTTATTAAGTAACTACCTGTACTATATTTTATGTCTCAACACAGGTTGAGTCAACACAGTGGGATACAGTTATATTTGAGTAAAACACCCCTGTATCAGCATGGCTAACGATGATTTAACTATACAAGGGGATAACTGAAAATTGCAAAAGTAAATCTTTCTAAATGAAGTGTATTGTTAAATTGTTTTCCTCTTAGTCAGATCTAAAAACCGTCTATAGCTAGTTAAATGCCAACCTATCAGATAGGGAAGTAAGAGGTGAAGATTCAGTGGAAAGGCTGCAGCTTGAAAAAAATCTTCTTTTTACAAAAATACTATAAAATTTTCCAGGACAGGTGGCTCATGCCTACAATCGCAGAGCTTTGGGAGGCCAAGGCAGGAGGATCAGTTGAGGCCAGCATTGAGACCAGTCTCAGCACATACAAAGACTCTGTCTCTACAAAAATAAAAACATAAACTTTAGCCAGGTGTAAGTGGCACACTCCTGAAGCCCTAGTTACTCAGGAGGCTGCGGCAAGAGAGAGGATTACTTGAACCCAGGAGTTAAAGGTTTCAGTGAGCTGTGATTACACCACTGCACTCCAGCCAGGTGACAGAGTAAAACTCTGCCTCTCTAAAAACATATATACACATATGTGTGTGTGTGTATATACACACACATATATGTATATATACACATTCATGTATATATACACATTCATGTATATATACACACACACATAAGTATATGAATATATTTATGTAAATTTATATATGCACATATTTAGATTAAAATGATGTAAGTACATATATATGTACATATATAGATTTACATAAATACATACATATATTTGTGTGTATATAAATTTGTATATATATGCATAGATTTACATAAATATATGAACATTATTCGGGCCACTCCAAACACATTGGAATGGGCTTACACAAGTGAAGGGTCCTGAAACTACTTCCTTTAATTCATGATAAATATACCACTGCATCTTTTTACTAGCAAGAACAGAAGTTAACATGATTTCAGAAAAATGAGTAATGTGTAAAGGGAGTATATACTGGAATCAAGGAGATCGAATTCGATTTCTGGGCTCCTAATTAATCCCTCTATGACTATGGGTAATACACTTGACTTCAGTTTCCTCATCTTTGTTATGAAACTGATGGCAACAATGTCTCCCAAAAGATATAAAAAGAGTGTAATTTTTAAACTATAGAGGATGCTATTGAATGGATGTGTCTCCCCAAAATTTATATGTTAAAGTCTAACTTCCATTGTTATGGTATTACAAAAAGGTCCTTTAGGAGGTGATTAGGTGGAGCCCTCATTAAGGGATTTGTTTTCTTCTAAAAGTGACCCCAGCGAGCTCTCTCAATCCTCTTCCACCACTTGAGAACACAGCTGGGGCCAGGCACGGTGGCTCATGCCTGTAATGCTGGCACTTTGGGAGGCCGAGGTGGGCAGATCATTTGAGGTCAGGAGTTTAAGACCAGCCTGGCCAATATAGTGAAATCCTGTCTCTACTAAAAATACAAAAATTAGCTTGGCATGGTGGCAGGGCCTGTATGTAATCTCAGCTACTCAGGAGGCTGAGGCGGGAGAATCACCTGAACCCCAGAGGCAGAGGTTGCAGTGAGCCAAGATCATATCACTGCACTCCAGCCTGGGCAACAGAGCAACAGAAGGAGACCCAGTCTCAAAAGAGAGAGAGAGAAAAAACAGACAACACGGCAAGATGGCCATCTATGCACCAGGAAGCAAGCCCTCACCAGACACTGAATCTGCCCACACTCTGATCCTAGCGTCCAGAAATATAAGAAATAAATGTCTGTGGTTTAAGCCACCCAGTCTATGGTATTTTTGTTCCAGCAGCCCAAATGACTAAAACACAGCACTTTGTAAGTGTTTATAATTATTTTCGTTAATACTGTAAGCACTACCATTAGCATTATTAGTAGTATTAATAATCAGCTTAAAGTTGTAAAATTGCTTTTGCCCTTCTGCACTCTTAGCTTCTAATCTCTACAGTGTTTTCTCCACTGTGGCTAACCTAGATAAAAATTAAAGTATAGCAAAATTACAGTCTTGCCACATGTGGAGTCCTAGTACACGTTTATCCTTTTCCAGGGAGGAAAAAGTTTCCCTGGTAACTTGCCTTATTAAGTCCACTTCCAATAAGCAATTGGCTGAGTTTGATAGTTGTTTCTTTAGTAATCTCTGTAAACTACTGGCAATTTTTTGAATATGACTTCTTGAAGGGGTTCATGCCTTTTTTCATGTTCTAAGTATTGGAATGAAGTGCATTGGAACAGAATCATTTGATTATTTATATTTGTATTTTAATAAAAACGTGTAGAGATTTGCTCATATCAAGTATTCCTGCTAATGTACTAAACGTGGCTCATGGCTGATCGCTCAGGTATTATCAGTCTACTTGGGAACCTAGTAATGTTCTCAAATTTTCTACAGAATTATAAAACACAGCATTCAGTACATGTTATTAAATTGTATTCACATTTACCTGAACAATTGAATTTAGATTTAAGTTTTCTCAGAACACATTGCTTAAAAATAAAATTTTCAGAAACTTTAAATCTTAGAAAAAGAATCTGGTATTTCAAAATGAATACAAAACTCTGACAAAAATCATAAGTGCAAGAGGATCATTTTAATGTAATTTGGGAAAGAATAACCAAAAATAAAAATATTTATTAAACTATACATTTTAATAATCCTGAGTACATTTGAGATCATTTCATAATCACTACATTACAGCAGAACTCTCTATAGAAACACAGTAATATTTTAAATTTATTCCCACAGTTCTCATAATTATTTAACTAATAAGTAGAAAATGAAACCAAAGCATAAAAGTATAAAAATAGGGTCAATAAACACAATGGTATCAAGGGGAGCAATTTAAGAACTTTAAATGTTATATGGCATTAAGATGATGATAGCAATTTCTCAGGGTGAACACTTCCCAGATTATATTATATTCTATTATGTACCAAAGAATTTATGATCAACTTTTCTACATATTACATTCTGCTTTTCACTCATTCATTTATTCATTCAACAAATATTTATTAGTACCAATCATTTTGCAGCGGCTGTGTTAGATATTGGTAATATAAAGTTAGAATGAGATAACAATCTTCCGTATCTCTGGGAGTGACAATTTGTCCTGTTTTCAAAACCATTGTGTAAGTTCAAAAATATACATAAAACATACCAAAAAAATGCCTCCTAAGCTTAGAGAGTCACCAAGAGTTGGGGCCAGATACATATGTATTTTTAGGGACTAATGAGAGGTACTAATCCAATAATGTTTTACTACCACACCAAATGCTCATCCTTGTGACAGTCAAAACACATACAAGACTGTGAAGTCAGAAATAAACAATTAAAAAGAGAAAAAACAAAGAAAGTAAAAGAAAGAAGACTGTGAGATAGGAGAGCACATGGCCTTTTCAGAAGCCCAGTGTCCAAACAGGAAGATTCTTCTCTTATCAACAGAAGGCTACAGGAATGCTTCTCCTTTCAAATTCCATGGGGAATGGGGAGCTTCATGAAGATTACTTATGCAATAGAAGGATTTCTGTGAGAAAAAAAGAGCATTTTGTTCTCTAGTTGTACACTTGTGGAATCATCAGACTCACTAATCTGCCCCTTGGTCACAATGAGCTGAGAAAAGAGAAGAAAGACAGGGCCAAAGAAGAGGGAAACAGTGGGACTCACCTTATACTCTGAAAGCTGGAGCAAACAGACACCTTAGAGGGAACTGAGTTAGAGCTATCTTGCAGAAAGTTCTCCCAAGAGGGACCCCAGCAGCAAGATGCTGTGGAATAAGGAAGGAGCTAAGGGGAGGAGGAGCAGGAGGACAATACCAAGCCAGAGCTAGATCTCCTGTATCAGAGAATCAGCAGGACACCTGACCAGGACCCTCCAGTGCTCCACGACAGAAATTACCAGTGTGAGCTAGGGACTTCCCATCAGTTAACAAGTAACTGCTTCTACTCCCAGTTCAGAAAGGAGAAGTTTGCCTGTTCCCTCTCTTTGCTCTCCACCTGAACCTAAGAGAGGATCTAGCACTAGAAGGTAAAGGGGGCTGAGGGAAACTCTACTCCAAGCTGCTGAAGACATGAAAATTCTAGGTATCTTTTGAAGAAAAAAGAGAGCTTTAAATAAAGTTTGAGGCCAAAATCATAAAATGTAAAAGAGTAAAGATTAAATATTGAAACAGAACTGTTCTGATAACTGAAAGAATATTAAAGAGCCCATGCAGGATTCCATTACGCAGAGTTAATGGCATTGCTTTTTCCAGAGCTTAGGCCAAGTCAAGAGCAAAGCTAACAGTTAGAGAAATAGAGTTGAGCAGATGTATTGTTTTGAAAGATGAAGGCAGGCCCTGACCCCAAAAAAGGGATCTGAACTGAAGGTACAGACTTGGAAGCTCTCAGCTCTTCAAAATAATAACGTTGATAAATAATAATATTAGCAAAATATAATATTATTAACAACAGTCATATTAACAATAACAGTTAATATGTACTGATCTCATACTACTTGGCTGGTACTTTTCTGAGAGTTTTATATGAATTATATAACTTAATCTTTTAGACAATGTTGTGAGGTGAGTCTGGAAAACCAACTACTTTCAGGTCCATTTTCCTTAGAAGGAAAGTGAAAATTTAAAGAATTTAAGGAATCTGCTCCAGTTTCCTAGCTGGCAAATAATAGAACAGGTATCTAAAGTAGTTCTGACTACAATGGCCACATGCTTAATCTAATTTATTAAACTACCTTCTTAACATTTTCTTTTTTTTTTTTTTCTTAACTGGATTTGTTTTGGGGAGGACATGGGAAATTTATTCATTTTATTTTTTATTCCAACTTCTATTTTAGGTTCAGAGGTATATATGTGGGTTTGTTATATAGGTGAATTGTGTGTTGCAGGGATTTGGTGTACACATTATTTCATCACCCAGCTACTAAGTGTAATACTCGACAGGTAGTTTTTCAATCCTCACTCTCCTCCCACTCTCCACCCTCATGTAGGCCCCAGTGCCTATTCCCTTCTTAGCGTCTTTGTGTACTCAATGTTTAGCTCCCACTTATAAGTGAGAACATGCAGAATTTTGTCTTCCATTCCTACATTAATTCGCTTAGGATAATGGCCTCTGTCTCCACTTATGTTTCTGCAAAGGACATGATCTCATTCTTTTTTATGGATGTATAGTATTCTATGATTTTATGTACTACATTTTCTTTATCCAATCCATTATTTTTGGGCATTTAGGTTGAACCCATATCTTTGCTACTGTGAATAGTGCTATAATGAACTTACACATGCATGTGTCTTTATGGTAGAATAATTTACATTCCTTCAGATATATATCCTGTAAGAAATTGCTGGGTCAAATGGTAATTCTGTTTGAAATTCTTTGAGAAATCTCCAAACTGCTCTCTTCAGTGGCTGAACTAGTTTACATTCCCACCAGCAGTGTATAAGCTTTCCCTTTTCTCCACAGCCTTACAGCATCTGTTATTTTTTGACTTTTTAATATTAGCCATTTTGACTGGTCTAAATGAGATGGTATCTCATTGTGGTTTTTATTTGCATTTCTCCAATGATTAGTGATATCGAGCATTTTTTCATATGCTTGCTGGCCATGTGTATGTATTCTTTTGGGAAGTATCTGTTTACATCCTTTGCCCCTTTTTTAATGTGGTTGCTTATTTTTTGCTTGTTGATTTGTTTAAGTTCCTTATGGATTCTGGAATTAGAAGTTTGTTGAATGTATAGTTTGAAAATATTTTGTCCCAGTCTATAGGTTATCTGTTTACTCTTGATAGTCTCTTTTGCTATGCAGAAGCTCTTTCATTTAGTTGCCATTTGTCATTTTTTTGTTGTTGCAATTGCTTTTGTCATCTTTGTCATGAAATCTTTGTCAATGCCTATGTCCAGAATGATATTTTCTATGTTTTCTTCTAGGGTTTTTTTACATTTAAGTATTTAATCAATCTTGAGTCTATTTTTGCATATAATGAAGGAAGGGGTCCAGTTTCTATAATCTGCATATGGCTAGCCATTTAGCGTAGCACCACTTATTGAATAGGGGAGTCCTTTCTCCATGGCTTGCTTTTGCTGACTTCGTTGAAAATCAGATGGTTGTAGGTATGTGGCTTTATTTCTTGGTTCTCTAACCCATTCCATTGGTCTGTGTTTGTTTTTGTACAAGTACCATGCTGTCTTGGTTACTGTAGCCTTGTAGAGTCGTTTGAAATGAGGTAGTGTGGTACCTCTGGCTTTATTCTTTTTCCTTAGGATTTCATTGGTTATTCAGAATCTTTTTTGATTCCATATGAATTTTAGAATAGTTCTTTTTAATACTGTGTAAAATGTCATTAGTAGTTTGATAGAAATAGCATAAAATCTGTAAATTGCTTAGGGCAGTGTGACCATTTTAACCGTATTTATTCTACTTATCTGTGAGCATGAAGTGTTTTTCCATTTTTTTGTGTGTCATCTCTGATTTCTTTTAGCAGTATTTTATAATTCTCATTGTAGAAATCTTTCACCTCACTAGTTAGCTGCATTCCTAGGTACATTATTTTTTGTGGCTATTGTGAATGGGATTGCACTTTTGATTTGGTCCTCAGCTTGCATATTGTTGATGTAAAGGAATGCTCCTGATTTGTATAAGCTGAAATTTTACTACAGTTTTTTGTCAAGAATAGCAGTCTTTTGGAGGGTCTTTAAATTTACTGAGTATACAATCATGTCATTGATGAACAGAGATTTTTTTAACTTCCTTTTTTCTTAATTGGATAATTTTATTTTTTTCTCTTGCCTGATTCTGTCTAGGACTTCCATTATTATGTTGAATAGGAGTGGTGAGCGTGAGCCTGCTTGTTTTTTCTGGTTCTAAGGGAACTGCTTCCAGCTTTTGCCCATTCAATATGATGCTGGCTGTGGGTTTGTCCTATTTGGTTGTTATTATTATGAGGAATATTCCTTCAATGCCTAGATTACTGAAAGTTTTTAACATGAAGGGATGTTGAATTTTATAAAAAGCCTTTTCTGCATCTATTGAGATAATCATGTGATTTTGGGTTTTGTTTCTATTTATGTGGTGAATCACATTTTTTGATTTGTGTATATTAAACCAACTTTGCATCCCAGGAATAAAGCCTACTTGATCAAGGTGGATTATCTATTTGATACACTGCTGGATTTGATTTGCTAGTATTTTGTTGAGGATTTTTATATTTATGTTCATCAAATACATTGGACCCAAGTTTTCTTTTTTTTTTTTTTTTTTTTTGTGTCTCTGCCAGGTTTTGGTATCAGAATGATGCTGGCCTCTTAGAATGAGGTATGAAAAAGTCCTTCCTCCTCAATTGTTTTGAATAGTTTCAGTAGGATTGGTACCAGCTCTTCTTTATACATCTGGTATAATTCAGCTGTGAATGTGTCTGGTTCAGGGCTTTTTAGGTCAGTAGGCTTGTAATTACTGATCCAATTTCAGAACTTGTTATTGGTCTGTTTGGGCTGTCAGTTTCCTCCTGGTTCAACCTTTTGAGGTTTTATGTTTCCAGGGACATATTGATTTCTTCTAAGTTCTCTAGTTTGTGTGCAAAGGGGTGTTTGTAACAGTATCTGAGGGTTATTTTTATTTCTGTGGAATTGATAGCAATGTTCCCTTTGTCATTTCTGATATTTAGATCATCTTTTTTCAGTTTAGCTTGATGCTGGTTATTTCTTTCCTTCTAGATAGCTTTGAGATTGGTTTGTCTTGTTTTTTTCATTTCTCTAGGTGTGGTGTTAAGTTGTTAGTTTGAGATTGCTCTTAACTTTTCTATTAACACTGTTTTAGCTATATTCCAGAGATTTTTCTTTTTTTTTTTTTTCTTTTAGATAGTCTCGCTGTGTCACCCAGGCTGGGATGCAAGGTGTGTTCTCAGCTCACTGAGGTTCAAGCAATTCTTGTGCCCCAACTTCTCAAGTAGATGGGATTACAGGCATGTGCCACCACACCCAGTCAATTTTTGTATTTTTAGTAGATACAGAGTTTTACAGTGTTGCTCTGGCTGGTCTCAAACTCCTGGCCTCAAGTGATCTGCCCACCTTGGCCTCCCAAAGTGCTGGGATTACAGGCATGAGGCACTGTACCTGGCCCATCCCAGAGATTCTTATATGTTGTATCTTTGTTTTCATTAGTTTTAAATAATGTCTTGATTTCTGCCTTCATTTAACTGCTTACCCAAAAGTCACCCAGGAGGAGGTTGTTTAATTTCAATGTAATTGTATAATTTTGAGAGATATTCTTGTATTGACTTCTCATTTTATTGCACTGTGGTCCAAGAGTGTGGTTGTTATTACTTTGGGTTTTTTTCAATGGTTGAGAATTATTTTATGGCTGATGGTGTGATCACTTTTATAGTGCATGCCATGTGCAAATGAGAAGACAGTATATTCTATTGTTGTTGGGTGGTGTGTTCTGAAGATGTCTGTTAGATCCATGTGGTCAAGTGTTGAATTCAGTTTCGAATATCTTTGTAAGTTTTCTGTCATGATGATATATCTAGTTCTGTTAGTGAGGTTTTGAAGTCTCCCACACGTATTGTGTGGTTATCTAAGTCTCTTCATAGGCATCTAAGAACTTTTTTTAATGAATCTGAGTGCTCCAGTGTTTGGAGCACATATATTTAGAATAACTAAGTCTTTTTTTTTTAATTAAATCCTTTATCATTATGTAATAACCTTCTTTGTCTTTCTTGATTGTTGTTGGTTTAAAGTCTGTTTCTCTGAAATTAGCTCCATCTCTTTACTTTGAGCCTATGGGTGTCATTGCATGTGAGATGGGTCTCTTGAAGATAGCATACAGTTGGGTCTTGCTTCTTTATCCAGCTTGCCACTATGTGTTTTAATTGGGGTATTTAGCTCATTTATATTCAAGGCTAATATTGATATGTGTGGATTTGGTCCTGTCCTCATGTTGTTAGCTGGTTGTTATGCAGACTTGATTGTATAGTTGTTTTATAGTTCCAATAGTCTATGTACTTAAGTGCGTTTTTGTGATGGCCAGTAAGAGTCTTTCATTTCCATGTTTAGCACTCCCTTAAGGAACTCATGTAAGGCCAGTCTGGTGGTAACAGATTCTCTTAACATTTGCTTGTCTAAAAAGAAAGTTATTTCTCTTTTGCTTATATTTAATTTGGCTGAATAAAAAACACTTGGTTAGAAACTGCCCAAAGTAATTTATACATTCAATGCTATCTCCATCAAGCTACCAATGACTTTCTTCACAGAGTTGGGAAAAGACTACTTTAAACTTCATATGGAATCAAAAGAGAGCCTGCATAGCCAAGACAATCCTAAGCAAAGAAAACAAACAAACAAACAAATAAACAAGCTGGAGGCATCATGATACTTGACTTCAAACTATATTACAAGGCTACAGTAATCAAAACAGCATGGTGCTGGTACCCAAAACAAAGATATAAACCAATGGAACAGAAAAGAGGCCTCAGAAAGAATGCCACACAACTACAACCATCTGATCTTTGACAAACTTGACAAAAACAAGCAATGGGGAAAGGATTTCCGGTTTAATAAATGGTGTTGGGAAAACTGGCTAGCTGTATGCAGAAAGCTGAAACTGGATCCCTTCCTCACATCTTATACAAAAATTAATTCTAGATGGATTAAAGATTTAAAAATGAGGCCTAACACCATAAAAACTCTAGAAGAAAACCTAGGCAATACCATTCAGGGCATAGGCATGGGCAAGGACTTCATGACTAAAACACCAAAAGCAATGACAACAAAAGCCAAAACAGACAAATGGGATCTAATTACACTTAAGAGCTTCTGCACAGAAAAAGAAACTATCAATACAGTGAACTGGCAACCAACAGAATGGGAAAAAATTTTTGCAATCTACCCATCTAGCAAAGGGTTACTATATAGTATAAATATTTTTTTTAAAAGGAGAAAAGAACAACAAAAAAAGAATTTCTTTTCCTTAAGAATGCTGAATATAGGCCCTCAATATCCTCTTGCTTGTAGGTTTTTTGCTGAAAGGTCCATTGTTAGCCTGATGGGGTTTCCTTGCAGGTGACCTGCCCTTTCTATTTGGCAGCCTTTATTATTTTTTCTTTCATATTGGCCTTGGAGAATCTGATGACTACATGTCTTGGGGATAGTTGTCTAGTATAGTATCTCACAAGGATTCTCTACATTTCCTGAATTTGTCAAACTCTCTAGCAAAGTTGGAGAAATTTTCTTGGTTAATATCCTCAAGTATGTTTTCCAAGTTGCTTTCCTTCTGTTCCTCTCTTTCAGGGATACCAATAAGTTACACATCTGGTCTATTTACATAATTCCATCTATCTCAGTGGTTTTGTTGATTCTTTTTACTCTTTTTTCTTCATTTTTGTCTGACTGAGTTGACTCAAAGAACCAGTGTTTGAGCTTTCAGATTCTTTCCTCAGTTTGGTCTATTCTTCTGTTAATATTTGTGATTGTATTATGAAACTCTTATAGTAATTAAGTTTTTCAGTTCAATCAGATCAGTTTGGTTCTTTCTTAAAATGGCTATTTTGTGCTTCAGCTCTTCTATCATCTTATCAGTTTCATTAGATTCCTTATACTGGGTTTTGACTTTCTCCTGAATCTCAGTGATCTTCATTTCTATCCAGATTCTGAATCTGTATCTGTCATGTTAGCCGTTTCTGCCTGGTTAAGAGCCATAGCTGAGGAACTAATGCAAATTATTTGGAAATAAGAAGATACTCTGACTTTTTGTGCTGTCAGAGTTCTTGCGCTGGTTCTTTCTCATCTGTGTAGCCTCATGTTCCTTTAATCTTTGAAGTTGCTGTCCTTTGCATAGGGTTTTTTGCTTTTATATTATATGATGCCCTTGAGGGTTTGACTGTGTTATAAGCTAACTTCACTTGACTGGCTTTGTTTATGATAGATTTTGGGGGGCACAAGGCTCACATCAGCACTCCTGGCTGCATGCTCTAACCCTCGGGGACTGGTGCCAGGCTTTGTTCTTTGACCCCCCTAGGTTAAGCACCTGCTGCACTGGAAGAGCTGAGGTGTTCCTGGTCTGCTGACAAAAACATTCTGATGGTGGGGGTGTCAGCCAAAGCTTTCCACTGGGGTAGTGGCAGCAGCATCTGCACTCAAGTGTGCATGCCATCAGAGTGGCACCTGAACATTTTTGACAATATGAAACTAAATGTTATCATCAGGACATAAATAAAGAAAAAAGAAAGACAAACTCCAAAAATCACTTAAAGCAGAGAAGCCAGAAAGATGGGTGGAAAATCAAAAGAAGTTAATTTAGATATCTTGTAAGATGAGGCTAGCATGATGATTACAGAGCTATTTAAGGGGTTTTTTCTTTTCCTCAGCTAGTGTTGTGAGCCCAATTTGGGCTGAAAATAATGAATTTATAATATCACATTCCTTTGCTGGTTCATATATTTTCATGGGTAAAATGCTTGTTTTCTTTACAAAATAACACTTCATTTAACAGCTCTATTTTCTATAATTTGATAAGAGCTGCATAAAGAAAAGTGGATGATTAATAATTTCATCAGATGTATGTAACTATATGGAAAAGATATAGCCAGTGGATGGGTGTATATGCCTTTTTAAAAACCGAATACATTTTGTGGATCACATTCCTTTAATATGATTATTTTCGTGGGTTGCAGAACATTCTCTGTTTACAGTTTGATGTGGAAACTGAACTAAGACTGTTGTGGTTCATTTTGTAGCTAAATATCCAAAGCTATTGCATTCACTATCCCTCTTATTTTATACAGCCACACTTCATTTCACTGACATTGCTCAGGAACAAGGTGTTCAACATCAATCAATTTTTCAGGTAGCTGAAGCTCAGCCAGTATATGACTGAACTGATTTTATTTTAATAAATTTGATGGAAATCTAAAATATATCATACACTTTTAGTCGTTCTTACAGAAAGTATATCATATAAAATTTATCCTTTCCTTGATGGTCTTGAATCATTCTTATAAACTTCAGTGTTTGCATTGTGCTACAATGTAGCAATGCCCTGAGGGGTGAGTCATGTAGAGTTGTTTACCTTTAGACAAAGATCACAACATGATTGGCATAATTATTCTGAATAAAACAAAGAATGCCATGTGCTTTGGATCCACATATGTGGTTTAAAATCTTGGGTCTCTCATTTAAGATCAGGATTACTTTTTAGATAAGTTGTTAACCACTTAAAAATCTTTGTTTTCCTATTAGTAAAATGGGATAAGACTAAGAGCTAATATTGAATATATACTAATTGTTAGACACTATACTACATCATTGACTCCACAATGATGAGAGATAGTATAATGAGATTAAAAACTCAGACTTTGGAGTCAGATTGGTTCCTAGCTCTGTGATCATACACAGATTTTTTTTAACTTTCCATATCTTATTTTCCTCATTGGTTAAAAATGAGATCATAAAAATACCTTCCTTGTGGATGGAGTTTTGTTAGAGTTAAAATATTTGTAACACTTAGAGGAGTGTCAAGATTGTCATAAGCATTGAATAAGTGATGATGACAACGATGATGATGATGATCTCATTTTATCTTCATAGCAGTCCTGAGAGTTAATTAATGTTATGACCTCCTTATTCTAGAAATGAGGAAACTAAGTCTTCACGATGCTAAGCAACTTGTGACAATCACAGCATTAGTAACAAAGTACTGATTCCATACCCAAGGAATCATGGGCCACTACAAGGACAATCAATGATGTATTGCTTACACTGTCAGAGACGGCTTCGTTTTCTTCAGGGTACCACTTGCACAGTTCTGTGAAACAGCCCTGCCACTAAGATAGGCTGCTTCTCTATTTCATGCAACATTTTTTGAAGGTTAACTGAAACAAAATGTATGGAGGCAGCCAACACAGTTTCTTGTGTATAGACATAATAAATGGCAGGTGCTTTTCACCTCTTCATGCTTCGGTTTTGTTTAACCCTTTTGGCTGCTTCAAATCTGGTACATTCTGCATCTAAAAAATGAGATACTTTGTAAATTCAGTAATTAATTATAAGCTACTTTTAGGCCTGGGAAATATACTCGTACCTTTTTTTAGAAAAAGTTTATGGATATTTTAATAGATGTTTCATTCTGGGTGTGGTAGGCAGCTTCCAAAATGGCCCCCAGTAATTTTTAACTCCTGTTGCTTATTCCCTTGGGTGATGTCTTTTTTTTTTTTTTTTTTTTTTTTTTTTTTTTTTGAGTATAGGCTGAACCTAGTGACTTGCTTCTAACAAACAGAATATGGCAAAAGTGATGGATGACCCTTCTGAGATTAGGTTATAAGACTATGACTCCTTGCTTGCTCACACTTTCTCTCACATCCTTTAACTTGCTCACTAGGATGAAGCCAGCTGCCTTGTTGTTGGGTGTCCTATGGAGAGGCACACCTGATAAAAGCTGAAGGTGGTCTCCAGACAATAGCAGCAAAGAACTAAGGCCTTCAGTCCAGAAACTCACAAGGAACTAAATCTTGCCAACAACTAACTACCTGAGTATGCCTGAGAGTAGATCCAACCCAGACAAACCTTGTGATGACTCCAGCCTCAATGTTGATGAAAGCAACATTGATGCTGTAGTCATTGGTGGTAAGAGGACCCAGCTAATTCAGGTCCAAATTCCTGCCCCATAGAAAATGCCAAATAATAAATGATTTTTTAGGCCACTAAATTCTGGGGCAATTTGCAATGCAGCAATAAAAAAGTAATACAGTGGGGCTTTTTCTACTTAGTCTCAAATCTCTGCTTGTGTTTTATATGGTTAACCGAGATCACACTACTCAAAAGAGATATAGTACCAGCAATAATTTCTAACACTTTGCCACACAGTATTGTCATTTTCTGATTCCTTTTTTGCCAGTCTTGCTAGACTGTGAGCTCCTTGATGGCTGAAACTGTATCTTTTATCTCTATATTCTAAATTTAGGACAGTTGTTATCTAGTAATTAAAATACCTGGAGCCAAAGATGAAGTACAAACTCAAAAGAAGCAAAAATGTGGGAAGATATGGGGAGAAAGAAGAAAAGACTATAATTCAAGAAGGGATTTCTTAGTTTGAAATCCCAAAGAAAACAAACCAGAATGAGAATGAAGTGTGATATGTAATGGTAACTTTGCTTGGCACACAAGCCATTTTTAATTAGCCTAGAAGTAGTAGCTTATGATAGGCAATAACCACATGTGGAAAAATTAGTGGTGGGCAAAGCTTCCTCCTTGCTTTTGAGAAAAATCTAGAGTTAATTGCTAACAACCTAACCCCCCTCTAACACTTCCTGGCCTCAGAAATGAGAGCCCAAGACCAGAATATCACATCCAGTTCCATTTCCAGACACATCATGGCAAAATAATGGGAAAACACCTTGACGTATCACTTAGATCTGGGTGCTGGTCAACAAAACGAATTGTCTATATGGACCCTCATGAGGAGAACTTTCAAAGGCTAATATTGCATTGCCTTAAGAAAAGCTACTTGCAGGCCGGTCATGGTGGCTCACTTCTGTAATCCCAGCATTTTGGGAGGCTGAGACCGGTGGGTCACTTGAAGTCAGGAGTTCATGACCAGACTAGCTAACATGATAAAACCCCCATCTTTACCAAAAACACAAAAATTAGCTGGGCATTGTGGCTCACATCTATGATGCCAGCTACTTAGGAGGCTGAGGCAGGAGAATGGCTTGAACCCAAAGAGCCGCGGATGCAGTGAGCTGAGATCACACCAGTGCAGCACTCTAGCCTAGGCAGTAGAAGCACACTTTGTCTTAAAAAAAAATTTGCTTAGTATATGTTATCTGACCAAGTTGACCTGATCTTTGATAAGAATTCATTTTTCCCTAACTTCCTGGGATTTGGTCATAATTGGGTATGATTACTTTTAATAGATGAACTATTTTTTGCTTTTAAATTAGTAGAAAAATTATTGGAATATCCATATATTTGTAGTCTATTCCTTGTTACTTATACTATATGAGGGATAAAATAGGAAAGAGAATACATCCTATGGACCAGAACACAGGAGATTTGGCTTCAAGTCTCAGATATCCAGCTAATCAAATGTATTCTTAGATGATATTTAACTTCTTTATGGCTTAGTTTTTTTGTTAATCTAATTATTATGGTAACAGCTATAGAAATTTTGTCTGGATAAAGTGAGATGCTGAAGGTGAAAAGCCTTTGACATGGTTGCATGAGTTGCTCAATACAAATTAAAACATAGACGCCAATCTGCATCTATTACATCCTTCCAGAAAGAACTAACCTTCTATAAGAAATTTTCTTTAACTCTAGCTTCATCAGCAATCTCCATTCCCTAGCGTTCTTCTATACTTTCGGCATGTTTTATATTATCATGTGCTTATTTCTAACTATAATAATTTTCATTCAAGTTGATGATATCGAAATTGAAAATATTGTAAGATAAATATCAAAGTGAACTTCCATTAGCCCATTAGCACAAATGAAACTAAACCTGTGTTCTTTTGTAATTTTTTAACTTCTCCAATAACGTAATTAAATATTATACATCTAGAATATTCCACAACACCTACTTTCACTGCCAGCAATAATCAGCCAACGCCATCAGAATCATATTTTTCAGGATGAATTATACTATTACTTCTAGGATATACAAAATATTATTTCCAGGAAATTGGAGTTTATAGAGAACCAAAACCTCCCAGTTTTAGGGAAATCCCTGCCAGAGGTAAGGCCCCTTAAAAAGAATACTTTTTTTAAGTATTAATTTTGCTCCTAAGAAGCCCAGGTTACTCTCTCCAACTTTACCTGATTGGAACTAGGCAATAGTGCACCCTTTCAACACACGAGTTCAGTACTTGTGCCTATAACTCTAGATAAACATCAAGATAAACACTTTGTGTGCTGCTCCAGCAAAGTGAGGTAAACATTGCTGGATTAAGAAGTCCAATACCAGCATGCCTTGTTCTGCTGCTACTGTAAGAGGAGCTCCTCTCCTCACCATTTCTCCAAAACTCATCTCCCTGGCATCTACAGAGTTCCTCCGTTTTGGGCACAGGTAAAACTGATGATGCATATGTCTTAACGTAATTCTTAGTTGATTAATATACCATCTCTATTTTTTCTTAGGTTCTCTACTCTCACTGCTTCATTTCCTAGATTCACTTTTCCTTGTCTTTGGGAGACTGGAGCAGTGGGAGGGAAGGTGAAGAGGAGAAGTTCACTATCTCCACAAGAGTATCTATCTGAGGGTCCTACCTCAAGAAGAATATTAAAGGTATGCTAAATCACCAAGTCACCATCAGGTCGGTTAACACTGCAGTCCCTCAATTCTAATCATGGTGCCCTATTCTGGAGTTACTTCGGTGGAAAGAGAGCATCTGCCAATGCTTTCCAAACCACCCAAATTTCTAGGGTAAGCACTCTCATCTCCCAGGTTACCCCAGTTAATTCCTCAGTCTTATTCTGGATTTTAGAGATTATAGAATCAAGAGCCCCAGACTCTGCTCTTTTATAAGGCAAGAAGCTAGTCCTAGAAAAAAACATCACATTCCATCCAGCTAATGTTAAGTTTCCTCTTATGTGCATGCTGTGCATGCCATTATCAAAGCGCCAACCACAGCATTGTATTGAAGTTATCCTACTGTTTTTTTGTTAGAGTGTACATTCTCTACAGACAACTACCAGCTCATAGCACATTTTTTAAGATATATGTCTGTATTTGTCTTTTGAATTGAATTTCATTCAGTCAGAGATGTGATCCTAGGAAATTCTGAATATTTGAGTTCTCTTTGCTGTATTTTATATTATCAAGAAATAAAATGCCTTTCCTAAAAGCCTCATAATAAAAATTTTAAGCAATTTTCAACATGAATTTTCTAGAATTTTGAATTTATACTTGTAAAAATTAATTTATTCTTTAGTATTGCTGTCATTAAATTTTTCAAAGTTATGTACATCTCAATATCAATGCATATTCATATTCTAATCCTTTGACTTAAGTAAATGTTGCTTTATTCAACTACCACAATAAGATTCTGTCACTATACTAAAAAATCTAATGCTTTTTATTTTAAAATAAATATGGTTGTACAAAATAGTATTATAAAAGATTGTGGATGCTTGGATAAGCAGTGGTTAGGAAGTAGAAAAGCATCATATTTCCTATAGTAATCATGATTTAAAGACATAATAAAATTTTAAAATTAAGCCACAGAGTAACAATAACAGAATAGAAATTGCTTTCAGTGAAAAAAGCTAGTCATGTCATTTTCACTTTTAGACCATTAATTATAGGGCATTCTTTCTTACTGCTTTATATTAATAATAGATGGTTTCATGGTAAAGCAGGCAACATAAATTTAGATCTTTATGATTCCTTATCATCTCTTGATTTTAAAGTAGACAAATCTCCTTAGAGTATAATGTTCTGTAAAATAGTCAATGTGTATAGGAATCAAATGATATCCAATGTGTTTATCTCTCCAAAATTGCCTGCTCACTCAACCACAAATACACACAAAGAACCTATAGGGGTACAGTCTTTATTTTCTTTTATATGATAATACAATCTCACTCTCTCTATAGAGGCAGATAAGGTTGCCTTTTGTGAAGAGCACAGCATTGTAGTTCATGTCTTATTCTACAGCATTTATTGACAGGCACAACATGACCTTTCATGGAAACTATAGTCCAATGGGCATATATTAACATTTGAGCTCATTGCATTCTTAAGACTGTGCCCATTCAAGCACAACGTGGGCAACATGAATAGTTCTTTTTTAAGTACCCCATTTAACAGAAGCCCACCTACTCACATATTTTGTAATACCCAGGTTCACCATTAGAGCATATAGGACCCCATGTGCTGTCAGTCACAGAAGTCTGAAGTGCACCTGCAAATAACCTGAAGTAAATTATCATGATCTCAAATACTCTTGCACATGATTACAAAAATATTTAGCTACACCACCACCTTTTATTCTTGTTCTTTCTCTCTTGAAGGCTTTGGACTCTATAGGCTGGTCTATACTCCATTCATTACCATTGGCCGGCCAATCAAGATTGTTTTTCTCTTACTATGCTATAGAAGAATATTCAGAAATTAACTTGAAGGAATACACTCAGAAATGCAACTTCCGATGACAAGAAGAGGAAAAGAAAACAAAAGTTATCTGAGAGCAAGCTAGCAGAGGAATTTAAATAATATATTCTACACTTCAAAGCCATGGTGATTTGTCTAGAAAAATGAAGATAAAATGGGTAATGAATCTAACAGAAATGGTATTTGTATTTCACAAGGGTAGAATGATCCCCAAGGAATAAGAAATGTGGAAGGAACCTGGAAATAAAACTGTTAAGACAAGCAAATAGATAAATGGATCTGCTGTCAGACAAGATAACAGTGAAGGTAAGCTGCTAACAGATGCCATCAAGAAACATTATAATATGCTTGGATGCTTGGCCAAGGAGACAATATACATATAAAATTATTTATTTGTAGTTGACAGTGATGCATGAGAACATTGTTTCTTTATGATTTATCACTGTTTTTATTCATTTGTATCTGATCAAAATTATATATTAATTAGAACCTCAGCATTGTTTAATGTAGAGAAAAAGTGTTAATTTTGCTGGGCACTTACTCTTTAGAAGAGACAGAATAACCTTGAAGTGGGACAATAAAGCATCACGATTTACAGGCTGCAAGTCTCAGGAGAGCACTTTATACAGTTTCTCACAAAAAAAAAAAAAAGCTCTTCTAACACCTCTTCACTTGCTTGATTCATACTTGGTGTTGAGTATTATCCTAGGCTTTCTTTGAGTTAAATGTCCCTCCTATACAGCTCCACAAATCATATGCCTCTCTTATCAGAAAACAATTAAACCTTATTTTATTGGCTTGTATTTTCTGCTAGGCTGCAACTTGGAGTGAAACTGTATTTTGCTGACTAATACAGACCCAGATCTAGCAAAGTTCCCAGAACATAGTAGGCAGACAACGAATATTTACTGAAGTAATGAAATGAATGCTTAGATAGGAGTGACAGCTTACAAAAAAGTCCAAAATGTCTAGTTTTTAAACTAGATTTCTTTAAAGAAATTTGTCATTTCTTGATAGGCACCCCTAGAGAATCTTAAAGAGGATTGACGTTATGGTCCCTAGGAAATGTATGCCTATTAGAAGCTTAGGCTTCTAGGAAGCAGGCATCCAGCATAATTACATTTTCATTATGGTAACAAAGAAAGGCAAATAAATATACTAGACCCATTTCTATCCAAACCTGATTCTCAGAGTCTAGAAGTTCATTTTATAGTGTCCATGATACCATATTTCCTATAGTTAGAATTACTTCTAATAACTGAAACCCAATAAGACTAAATTCTCCAATGTGCAGTGAAGATAGAATTACATTAAAAGTTCATGAGCTTTACAATGCCAATTGCAATATAACCTCATTGCAATTACTTGTAACTGAACCATATCCATGTTTTATGAAAAGAAAACCTAGAAATAAGTTACTGTTTTGATCATTTGATACATATAACAATATATTTTTCCTCTCTATTTTTAATAGTTAACATATGTCTTGAATAGTAGTTTTTTAGTTATAAATAACTTCATTTAATATAAGATTAAAGAAAGACTTTTAGTCCTTGTGTCTGATTATTCAAGAATTTTATTGTGAATAATTTTATTTTAAATTTATTTATGTTACAAAAATGAACCTATTAATTTTAAAGAAAAAGGAAACAAGTATAGTAACATGCAAAATGTTATATATTACATTTAAATTTTTTAAAGAACAATGACTACTAAAATGGTTGAAACAATTTGATTGATAGGATATTTTTGTACTTTAGTGATTGGTTTTATTACATAATGTAACAGTTTGATTACTTCTGTGGAAACACTGAAGCCTTTTTAAAATTTTGAGTTAGTAGAACACAAAGATCTACAAATAAGAATGTACAAAAATGTAAAAATATTTTTAAAAATCAATTATATCCTGAGCCTGCAGCAAATACTGTGAGAAGTAAACAACAAAGATTATTTCTTTCATAAAAAAGAACCAGTAGTTTAATATTTAGAAAAGAAATTTTATGAGAAAAATTAAATTTTGCCTCATACAAATTTATTTGCAAAAAAACAATTTCATTCAAAAATTCTTAATTTGAGAAGTTATAATAACCTCTCACTCAATAATCAAGAAAGTATTTATTAGTATTTCACTGTTGTACCTAATACAGGTATAAAATCTGAACAGAATGCATGCAGCAGATGTTTGAGAACTCTGAAGAGTAAGTGGCAAGGAGACTGGGAAGAAAAGCAGAAATCAAAGTACTGCTGAAAGGACAGTGAGTTTTAATATTTATTTTACTCTGGCATCTCCTGGCTTGGACTCAATTCAGCAGGAAATCTGGAAATAGAATTTATTGTCAACAGATAAAGTGCCAGGAGAATTCCTCCAGTTCTGGCTTAAGAAGCTCAAGGGGTAGAAAAACAATCTCTCAACACTCAGAGAATTCAGGCACTCCATTTTTCTTTCTTGTTCTCCACTCTCTCATGTCCCTGCCCCCAAACAATCCAATAGTGGCTCAAAAACCATGGCTGAGGAAGCAATGGGAAGTACAAGAGCTGAAAATTCTAAGGGAGGAAAAACCTTCATTTCCAGTCACAGGAGCTGTAATTAAAGGAAGTAAGGTAATTTTCCCCCATCCTTTTTGATATGGTTTGGTTTTGTGTCCCCACCCAAATCTCATATTGAATTGTAATCCCCACATGTCTAGGAAGGGACCTGTAATCCCCACAGGACAAGGGAGGGAGGTGATTGGATTATGAGGGTGGTTTCCTCCATGCTATTCTCATGACAGTCAGTGAGTTCTCACAAGACCTGATGATTTTATATGTGTTTGGGAGTTCCTTCCTTGATCTTCTCTCTCACCTCGCCTGCTACCCTGTAAGACATGCCTGCTTCCCCTTCCACCAGGATTGTAAGCTTCCTGAGGCCTCCACAGCCATGCAGAACTGTAAGTCAATTAACCTCTTTTCTTTATGAATTACCTGGCCTCAGGCAGTTCTTTATATCTGTGAGAACATGGACTAACATACTCTTTTATTATCTTGTTGCTTTGTACCAGATGTGGAGAGAATCACAAGAAGTGTGTGGCAGAGTGGAGTAATAAAGATACAGTAAGAAGTCTAATAAGGGGAGCCCCAGGATACAGGAAAGTGCAGATACAAAATCTTGAAAGCTTGAAATAAAATACAGTTGACATTTGAACAACACAAGATTGAACTGCATGAGTCCACATAGTGGATATTTTTCAATAAATATAGTCAGCCCTCTGTATTGGCAGATTCCATATCCACAACCAAACATGAATTGAAAATACAATATTCCCGGAATGTAAAGCCTGAGTGTACAAAGACCACCTTTTGGTATCTGAGGGTCCCACAGGGCCAACTGTGGAACTTGAATATGCACAGATTTTGGTATCCACAGGGGAATCTTAACCAATCCTCTGCAGATAGGGAGGAATAATTATAGAAAACATAAAAAAGAACTAGATGGATATTTTAGAACTAAAAGATACAATAACAAATTTAAAAACTTACCAGATGGGCTCAGTAGCAGAATAGAGATGAAAAAAATAAAAATAAAAACAAATGAATTTGAAGGTAGAGCTAAAAAAATTATTGTCATCCATCTTATGCAAGGTTTTGCTTAACTGGTCAACTGAAACCTGAAATATTAAATAGAAACTCCAGAAGAAACAATATACAAGTTTTAAAATATGTGTGGTTCTGAGTAGCATGATGAAATCTCACACCATGCCATTTTGCCCCAATGAGGACATGAATCATCCCTTTTTCAAAGCACAACCACACTATGTATTCTACACTCCCATTAGTCTCTTGGTAGCCATATTTGTTGTCACATCAACTGTTGTGATATTGCAGAGTTTGGCTTCAAGTAACCTTTATTTTAATTATGATTGTCCCCAAGGTACAAGTAGTAATGCTGGCAACTTGAATATGCAAAAGAGAAGCCATCAGGTGTTTCTTTTAAGTAAAAAGGTTGATAAAAGAAAAACTTGAGTTCAATTAAATTTAAAGAGTTTAATTGAGCAATGAACGACTTACAAATTGGACAGCATCCCAAGCCAGAGTATGCTCAGATGGTTCAGCATAGCCACATGTGGAAGAAGATATATGGACAGAAAAAGGAAAGTTACCTACAGAAATTGAAAGTGAGGTGCAGAAACAGCTGTATCAGTAACTGCGCAGTATTTGCCTTATTTGAACATGGTTTGAAGAGTTGGCTACATTTGATTGGCCAAAATTTAGTGATTGGTACAAGTATAGGCTATGGTCTTTTTATATCTCCACTTGTTATAGTTCATGATGTACAGAGAAATCTTTAGGCTGAACTTAAAATATTTAAGGAGGCAGCTTTAGGCTAAGCAATAAGGTAGAAGTTTTCAATTTAATAAAGAAATGAAATAAGTCATATGTTGAGATTACTAAGATCTCCAGTAAGAATGAATGTTCTATCTATGAAATTGTAAAGAAGGAAAAGGAAATGTGCACATAGTCTATACAGGGTTTGATACTATCTGCATTTCAAATATCCACAAAGGGTCTTGGAATGTAACCCCTGAGGATACGCAGGAACTATAGCATATGATCTGAAAAGCAGAGGGCAAATGATTGAGAAAATTAAATAGATCCTCAAGACCTGTGGTCAATAATGAAAGAACTAATATTTGTGTTATTTTAGTCACAGAGACAAGAAAGAATATGTTAATTTTTAAAACTTTGAAGAAATAGGGCTGAAAATAAACCAAATAGAAAGAAAAGACATTAAGCTACAGATTCAAAAAAAATCAG